GAGAGCCTGTGGTAAATGAAACGCATACAAACTCCTATACAGCTGCTAGACTTGAAAATAACACTGTAAATAGTGTTTTGGATATTGATTCGACTATTATATTGATAAGGAGCGTGTTTGGGAGGGAAGCGGAAGTAGAGGGCCTGGCTTGCGAGGTTGAAAGGGATGGTCCCAGGAGAAACAATAGGATGATTCGCATCGGGAAAAGACCTTTTAACTGGACCTGAGTGTGGAACCCACGTGGAAAAAACATGAACAAGCAGCGACAAAAACAAACCGACGACAAAGGGTGCATGGGAATTGGGGAAACATGGGCGGGAAGCTTGAAGCAGCTGATCGAGAACGCCTCGTTGCTATAGCTCTCATTATATATATTAACATTATATATTCATACAACAACTTGTTATGCGTAACAGTCTCTCTTAATTTCCGTGCTGAGTGGTTATATTACTACCTTAAAAAATAAGAGTCACTAACTCTTGACGAAGGGCCTTCGCTCGAAACGTCGAGTTTCTGCTTATTTTTTAAGGTAGTGATATAACCACTCAGCACAGCATTTTCACTTTGGTATTACCAACACTGGTATATACAAACAGTTTTAGTATATATATCTCTTAATTCCCAGTTAACTTCCTTTTATTGTGCCAATAAAATAAATTTAAGGTAAAGCACTATTAAAATTTTCTAATTTCAACTTGATCAGTGTCCTGAACATTTATTATGCGTATCCCAAAATATTTAATTATTCACCCTAGTATGTATTAGTGCTAGTTTTTTCAGCCATTATTCAGATTAAGTCGCCAACAACAGAACATTGATTTACAAAGACATGCAACGGAGAATGTTATTTGTCCTGTAGTGTGCCGACTGTTGTAGACTGATACATACATAAAACTAATAATTATTATTAATTACTAGCTATGTCTACTTCCCAATACTTGCAAAAAGCGCTCCTATAAAAGCGCAGCTGCAGCCTATACAGTTGTCTGTGCTACGTCTACAAATAGAACCAAAATGTATCATTATAATGCAATAAGTTAGTTTTGAATTGGAAATGCTCCAGGTCCTCGCAACTCTTCGATGAATCGCAGAACTAAATTCTTGGTTACATGTGGCATTAGACAAATATGGGAATAGATCCTTTGTTCGAACGTACCATCCACTGTTTTTACTTTCATCGGTTCTGAACCCAAAGAATAACGGAGCACGATATCTTCTCTTGGTTGTCTGAAATAAACAAACAATGAACCCGGTGCGTGTGATAACCACAAGTCCAAGGAAAGTTCCTTTTGCAGCTCTTGTAACTTTTTCAGTGAAAAGGCCAACATTTGCACTCCACTTACGGCTATTTCTTTAAAATCGTCGTAAGATTTCTTTGAAAGCAGATCCCACATGACCAATACACTGTGTCCGCCTCTGGAGCCAGACAGAGTGCTATCAAGGCCACCAATATACAAAGGATTGTTAGGCGGTTTCACTTGATCCTTCTTTCTCATCATAAATACTGCAGCAGGAACAGGACATCCAAACCACTTGTGTAGACTCATTGCAATAGATTTCACTTCAGGAATACGGAAATCAAACACGGGGAAAACATTTGGAAACATGTTATGAACTAAACCTTGATTTATTGCCATCTCAAGAAACCGGAGATGGGCTCCGCCTAAGGCACCGTCAACATGAAACCAAAATCCATTGCGAGTATCAGATTTAGTTGGGTGTTCTGGAGAATATACACGGCGTTCATACATGCCATGTTCTTTCAAAATGGGCACAAGTTCACTGATGGCAGCTTGTGGATTGTCGTTAGCTCCTTTAAATGTGGTACCACATGTAAAAACTACCAGCGGAGGAAAGCCTCTCGATACGAAGGCGGTGACGAGTTTCACTAGACATGGGATGCTAATTGAGCCATCAGTTTCAACTGGCACTGCACGTGGCCAACCGTTTTGATCCAGGAATTCGTCGTTGAAACTGCTAGGGTAGTCATCTGGATATTTCAACGGACAAGGAAAATTTCCACTGCCAATATCTCGGAATGTTTTCATCTGTAACACTCGTAATGCCTTTTCAAATCCGTGATAACTTTCTTCAGCAAGGAACACAATTGGTATAAAATTGTTCGGATTGTCCTTCACAAGTGGTACATTTTCAGTGTGGTGATCGTGAGACGAAACGTATGCGTTCATACGGGGATTATTTGATCTATTAACCACAGAATGCCCGTTATCTTCCCAGATTGGTCGAGTTTCATTGGTATCAAGGTCTCCTCTGTTTGGGGATTTGGAGCTGTCAGGATCTACTATATGATCATTGAGTGGCATGCCTGCCAAATAATCCCTTGCATTAAACAAAGCGAGAAGGTTGCCTTCACTGCTGCCATTGGATGTAATGTACCCCCAGTATGCGCGTTCTTCCTCATTTGAAGCATCGGATTGCTGTATCCCCCATAGTTTAGCAAAATAATCGAGAACGGCACACTCCATGACTTTAGTGTTCGTAGCGTATTGTGAAGATGGTGAGAATGGA